TCCCCTTCCTCCCCCTCCTCCTTCCCCCTCCTCCTCCTCCTCCTCCTCCTCTCCCTCCTCCTCCCCCTCCTCCTCCCCCTCCCCCTACCCCTTCCTTCTCCTCCTCCTCCTCCCCTTCCTCCCCTCCTCCTTCCTCCTCCTTCCTCCTCCTCCTCCTCCTCCTCCTCCTCCTCCTCCTCCTCCTCCCCCTCCCCCTCCCCCTCCCCCTCCCCCTCCCCCTCCCCCTGCCTTCTCCTCCTCCTCCTCCTGTTTTACGACCGCCGCCCCATTCCTTCTCCCCCCTTCCCCCTCCTCCTCCTCCTTCCCCCTCCTCCTCCCCCTTCCTTCTTCCTCTCCCTCCTCCTTCCCCCTCATCCTCCCTCTTCCTCCTCCTCCTCCGCCTTCTCCTCCCCCTTCCTTCTCCTCCTCCCCCTTCCTTCTCCTCCTCCCCCTTCCTTCTCCTCCTCCCCCTTCCTTCTCCCCCTCCTCCTCCTCCTCCTCCTCCTCTTCCTCCTCCTTCCCCCTCCTCCTCCCCCTTCTGTCTCCTCCTCCGCCTTCTCCTCCCCCTTCCTTCTCCTCCTCCTCCTCCTCCTGTTTTACGACCGCCGCCCCATTCCTCCTGACGCCGGGATGATGAGACCTCAAGGGGCCCGCGGGTTGCGAAAGACACGGAGAAGGACTTCGGCTTCTGAATTCGGCGGCTTGGCGGGAATTGAAAGCCGAGATGAGCCGGGGCAAATTGGTCCTCCTTCAGGTAGTCTTCTGAGGCCTGGGGAATGGATCTGCGAGGATTGAATCAGATATCGAGGCTAAGGGGGGAAAAAAAAATATATATATATGGGCTTGGGGGAGGATCGCTCAAAGATTTAGAAGAAATGTTTGTTATATTCATAAGGTTTTCGTTGTATTTTCCAAGTGTTTTTTTTTTCTATGCTCTTTATGTTTTATTGTGTCTTATGCCTGGATCGCTGTGTGTCAAGCGATGGCGCAAGTTCTTTCCCAGCAAATTGGAAGCGAAGTTAAATCTGACCTTGTTTCTTGATGGCAGCTACTTGTCTTGCTGCGGAGAATCTGCAGCCTTGCGGTTCGCGGGTTAAAATGACGCAGATAGTGTGATTCTGGTTATCTTTGTTTATCTTTTTCCATCTTGTATTGTTGGAATTTATGTTTTTGCTTATGTGTTTTGGTCTTTGTATTTTAACGTACTCATTTATCTGTCTCAGTTTCGATATGCATGGAAGACTTTTGAGAAAAAATATTCTTATTGAGAGATTACGAGTAGAACGTAAATAATTTTGAAATGTGTTCTTTGGATCGCCAGATTCGTGATTTGTATCTGAAATTTGATAGGAAGTGTTTCGTGACCAAATTATGCTTGTTAAGAATCTGTGTGTGTGTGTGTGTGTGTGTGTGTGTGTGTGTGTGTGTGTGCTAGTGTGTGTGTGTGTGTGTGTGTGTGTGTGTGTGTGTGTGTGTGTGTGTGTGTGTGTGTGTGTGTCTGTGTGTGTGTGTGTGTGTGTCTGTGTGTGTGCTAGTGTGTGTGTGTGTGTGTGTATGTGTGTGTGTGTGTGTGTGTGTGTGTGTGCTAGTGTGCTAGTGTGTATGTGTGTAAAACTTTATATATTTTCCTTTTTTTCAGCAAGTTAGTCCTTCTCCGTCTGTGCCTTTATCTTCTCCTTTTTCTTCTTCTTCCTGGTCTTCTCCCTCGTGGACTCCAGGATCCACCTAATACCCTCCTGTTGCATACCCACTAAACCCCAAGGACGAAGGAGATTGCAAGAATAAAGTCAATTGCTACCGCGTCTTTCCCCCTCTGCCTTTATATGTAACGTATTTTCGTAAGTTGTGGCCTTCGGTTGTGACGTCACGCTGAAGATTGGCGACCCAGTATGCCATCACGTGACCCGCATGTGAGAGGCGTTGCGTAACTTCTTCGTTTTCGTTTTATTTGGGTTTTCCTTGTACGTAGGTGGGTGCGTGCGTGCGTGCGTGCGTGCGTGTGTGTGCATATGTGCGTGTGCTTGTGTGTGTCCGATGTGTTTTAGTGTTTTACGACTAAGAAGTAGTGATGACAAAGTAGGGTTTCGGAGGCGTAGAGTCTGGTATTATCTGCATTATTTTCCGACGATACCCATAATCCAGGTAGTGGTATAACGTGTACCCGTTGGTTTGAAATGCATTCTTGGGTACCATTCGGTTGTTATTTTATAAGGGGGAATTATTAACCTTTTTTATCAGAAATTTGAAGAAAAGTTGGTTGAACACACACACACACACACACACACACACACACACACACACACACACACACACACACACACACACACACACACACACACACACACACATACACACACATACACACATACACACATACACACACACACACACACACACACACACACACACACACACACACACACACACACACACACACACACACATATATATATATATGTATGTATTTATAGGCATTATATTATATATATAAGTATCATATTATATATATATATATGTATGTATATATATATATATATATATATATATATATATATATATATATATATATATATATTATACGTGTGTGTGTGTGTGTGTGTGTGTGTGTGTGTGTGTGTGTGTGTGTGTGTGTGTGTGTGTGTGAGAGAGAGAGAGAGAGAGAGAGAGAGAGAGAGAGAGAGAGAGAGAGAGAGAGCGCAAGACTGACTTTGACTTTGACCAGTTTATTGAGATAAAAGCTTACATCTCAAGAGGATGATGTAACGTAGGTTATCCTCACCCCTATCATAATAAGTCCCCGTGTGAGCTCACATCTCAAATACAGAACTTAGGTATAACAGATTAGAATATATACAATACTTAAAATACCAAAAAAATACAAGTATTCAGAGTCAATGGTTTACATACCAGTAGAGTGATATAACACGATAGTTTTCCACACTCATCAGGCCTTTATCGTGCCCTTGTATTTTTCCAGCCTTTTTTTTTAATAGTTGCTCACTTGCCTTGTACTATTTCCCATTTGTTTTAAGAGGATTTCTTTCTCTTGGTCTTTGCACTTTAGCAGGATTGACCTAAAGATTGCAGAGGATGTTCCTCTTGCTCTTGCTCTTATTTTTCTTTCTTTCCCCTTAATAGTTATTTTACAATCTACACTACAGTCTGCAGGACCGCGAGAGAAGGCGAGAGAGAGTTAGATGCATATACTATACGCACTATATATACAGTTACATATACACGAATATTTACCGAAATATCACGAATCAAGATAGATGTGATCAGGTGTGGTTCATGTCATAATGTCAAGTGTTTCTTTTTCTAATGACTATAATCCTAAAGTCCTGAAAGATTTATTCCACATATCAGCATCTGCGTAAGAGGAATGTAATCAAGTTGTATATGAGCCCCTTTTAGAGTTATATACATGTTCGTTCCTGTGCGTGAATATAAATGGCTTATTTATATTATCAATTTACTTTTAGGTCTCCACTGAAAATCCATTTACTCGCGTCGTGTTAGAGTAAAGCACATACGCGTCATAGTGTAAGAGGCTCATTCATTTGACCCTCCTATAAATAACAACATTTGTATAAATAACGTAAACGAGAGACCAGCTGTGGTACCTGCCACCTGTACGATGATTATTCATTTTCCTAATCTTAGCGTGTGTTTACATGAGTGACTCGTTTATCATCAATGGTATGTGCGTGTACATAGGCCTGACCTCCGCACGTGGTTGGCGACCTTAGCATTTTTGAGGTCATAAAAAAAATGAAGAAGAAATAAGGAACTTGGGCTCCGTCGATGAATGCATTCATGGATGATTCATTTTCTTTTATGGACTTCTGGTTTGGGAGTAGGCAGGTTTTTGTTGTGTTTGTTTAGTATTATCGATGATGTTGTTTTGTTATTTCTTTTTGGTGAGATTGTTTTGTTATTGTTATTATTATCATTATCATTATTATTATTATTATTATTATTATTAGTAGTAGTAGTAGTAGTAGTACTAGTAGTAGTAGTAATAGTGGTAGTAGTTGTAGTTGTAGTTGTAATTGTAGTAGTTGTAGTTGTAGTTGTAGTTGTAGTTGTAGTTGTAGTAGTAGTAGTAGTAATAGTGATAGTAGTAGTAATAGTAGTAGCAGCAGCAGCAGCAGCAGCAGCAGCAGCAGCAGTAGTAGTAGTAGTAGTAGTAGTAGTAGTACTTGTAATAGTAATAGTAGTATAATTATTACTAGGGATAATCAATCCGCCCCCCCCCCCTCTTTGCCATCATTATCATTATCATTATTGTTATTATTATAATTATCATCATTATGACTTCCATTACATCTACTACTGCTACTGCTATTGCTGCTGCTAATGTTACTGGGTGTTTACGCTCACCCTTTCTCTTGCAATGGGTAGTGGCACAAAAAATTAGCACTGGCATTTACCTCTTGCGCGGTAGTCCGCCGGCGGCAAGGTAAACATGCCCCATTTGCACGAGAGCGTTGAACTACCCTTGACAGCTCGGCCACTGGGTATAGCAAACTATCTCTGGAATATAATTTTCCCGAGCGTCCGAGCGAAGGTCAGGCTCTCTGGGAACCGGAAATTATGAAGAAAAGAGAAGCAAAAAAAAGGAACTGGATTCTGACCAAGCCCTCTTCCTTCCGCAGTGAGGCAGGGACGAGTGCCACGCCGGTCTCCTCGGGGATGGGTCACAGCGAGAACTACGGGGGAGGGGGAGCAGGTGGCGGAGGAGGAGGAGGAGGAGGAGGAGGAGGAGGAGGGAGCCCTTCGGAAGTGTGCGTGGTGCGCCCTACCCTCAACGTCGCTCAGCGCTGCCAGAATTACCACTTTGACCCCGGCCATTCACCAGGTGAGGTCCTGCGGCATCATTTGCAGCCTTTTGCTTTCGTGCCGTTGTCTCTTTCCCTCCGTTTCTCTCTTTTTTTATTAGATCATTTATTCTTGCTTCGTATCTTATGTGATTTTTTTCTTGTACTTACGGTATCCAATGCCAATTTCTCCTCAGCATG